CCCCCCCATCACTCTCCATCTCTGTTTCTGTGTTCTTCTCTCTCTGTAATGGTACTGGGACTTGAACTTGAGTCCTCACTTGGGTTTCATGGTTTCATTCTACCACTTGAGCCATGCCTCCACTTGTGACATTTTGCTGCTTAATTGGAGATGAAAGTCTTGCATATTTATCTGCCTCATTTGGTCCTGAACCAAGATTCTCAGACCTCAACCTTTTCTAAGTGGTGAGGATCATAGGCTGAGTTACCCAACACCTGGATACAGTCTCCTTATAAGAATTTACAAACAAGTCTTACTTCCTTCATAAGTTGATGTTCGAAGTTGGAAAGCACCTGGACTGGTAGTGCACTCTTGTTATTCCAGCACTTATGAAATGGAGGCAGGAGAATCACACAAGTTAGAAGCCAGCCTGAGCTATATAGCATGTTTCAGGCCAACCTGAAACAAGATCCTGTCTGGAAAAAAAAAGAAAGAAAGAAATAGCTCTAATGTTCAATCTGTTCCAAATAAATAAATGTTTACTGCCAGGATCGACAGTATAAATACTTTTTCTCATATCCTCTTATATTATTGTCCTTTCAGTAATACTAATGATTATATGGAGACTCTCCAATATTTTATGGCTTAGTTGTCTTAGCCTCTTGCTCAGCTGTCATTTTGATCCCATTTACTGCTTCCTTGGACTGCATGTGCTTTTTCTAGAAACCTCTGTTTTCACTTTGTAGAGTTCAAGCCTTCTGTAGCCTTACTAGTCTTAAGGAGCAATGTAGGCCCACAGACAGTGACATTGTACCCATAGCAGCACATGTCACTTGTTCAGGGCCTAGTGTTTGGTACAAGAGTCTCTGGAATTTTATCTAGGCTAATTTGCTGCTTTTTTTGTTTGTTTTCCAGGCATTATTTCAGTTTCTTTACTGTTTAATCATTCTTTACTCTTTTAATCATTCTAGGCTTTTTAAAAATTTTTTTGTTTACTTTTTTTTAATTTGTGAAGAGTTGAGGAAAGTCATGGGAAGTGAAACCATGGCTCTTATTTTGAATGGAAATCAGGCATTGTAATTTAGATTAATATTTGGTATGTATAGATTTTTATTAAAAAATAACATTTTGACCGAAGACATCAAGAGTGATAGAAGTCTATAGTTTATCCAACAAAGAAAAACCCAAGTTGTATTGTGTACATTGTACAATATCTTAAATCTTAACTGTTGTCTTTTCTTTTAATAAAATAGTATTTTTCCCCTGTAATCTCTTCCAAACTAGGGAATCATACTCAAAAACCTCACCTGTTTCTCATAATGCTTCATCAATAGTAATTTTTTTTTCCATCATGCATGTCTGAAACCTAAAAGAGGAAGAAAGATCACAAGTTCAAAGCCAACCCTGGCAAAAGCTAGTGAGATGCTATCTGAAAAACTAACTGAAAATAAAGTCGAGAGGCATGGCACAAGTAGTACAGTATTTGCCTAACAAATACAATACTCTTGAGTACAATCTTCAGTATTACCAGAGGGGAAGGGAGGAGCACGTTCTTCTCAACCTTAAAAAAGCTTACATATCAGTTCTTTACAAAGAAAAAAATGAAAATTTAAAAGAAAACCTGTAAAACTTTTCTGTTTCCTCCCTTGTTTTGTACCAGCCCGAAGCAGCCGTATTCCTCGTCCAAGTGTGAGTCAGGGATGCAGCCGAGAAGCTAGTCGAGAGAGTAGCAGAGATACAAGTCCTGTCCGCTCTTTTCAGCCCCTTGGTGAGTATTTGGGCAGATGTAAGGTACACTGCTTCCCCCTTGTGATATTGCCATTTGAAAACATCTCTATTCCTGGAATTTTGCATTCATCATTAACTATCTCTTCCCCTTACTCTCTTTTATGTCATTTTGATTTTTAAAAAATTAGAAGGAAATTATATATTTGAGAATTACATTTGACCTTGTTAATGTGACCTAAATGAAAAAAATGAGTCATTTCAAACAATTTGATTTCATAATTAAATAAATGTCACACAAATATAAACTTTAGAAAGGTGAATTCAGTAGTCCCAACACTCAGGAGGCTGGGACAAGAGGATTGTGTGTTTGAGGCCAGCTTGAGCTAGATAGCAACACCATGTTTCAAAAAACAAACTAAACAAAAAAAGAATATTAAATTGGCACTTTTTCTTAACAAAGTATGAAATTTAAAGCTAATAGTAAGAATTCACACTGAAGTGAAATATGAAAAGTAAATTTTGTCCTTTTAACAGAAATACTGGCTTTTCAACTTACATCATTAAAGGTAGGTTTTTAGAAAGAGTGCTCCAAATAAATAAATGGAAGGGATTATATTTGTATAATATTTATAATTTGACAGTTTTTATACAGTAATTCATGTCATGTCACTATTACAAACTTATATGTTCCTGATTATAGAGATTATATAGTAACTTTATGATTACTATATTTCCTTCAATTATAAAAATATTAGATAATATTTACCTTTTTTGTCTTTTAGGATAACTGGATAGGCATAAGTTTTTACATTGAGAACCTTTAGAATTTCTCCATGTCCTTTTAACATTTTAACTAGTAATACTTTGTTGATACACACAATTCTGTAGCCATTCCAGATTTGTTTTCCTCTTTCATTAACGTAGCTTACTATGTAAGCTTACTCCAGCAGTTGCTTTTCAAGTGTTTCATATTATTAAGTTTTTTGCTAGTTGTCTATTGGAATTATTACTTCTCAGATAAATCTGTAATATAGAACTTTTAATGATTAACTTCTGATTTCTTGGGACATTTGACCTAGATAGATCTCTGGGCTTCCTGTACTGACAGGAAAACCGTATTTAGATAGGGATATACAGAGAGATCTTCATCCCCTGTTTATGTTGCAGCCTTGGATTCTGAAGTATTTCTCTTTTTCTCTTCCTTCTATGGGAAGAACTCTTGTTCATCACTTAGGCCAACTGTGGCATATTCAATGCCAGAGACATTTTTAGTATGTATATCAGTTATTCTGTAAAATGTTGATGCGTGTGTGTGTGTGTGTGTATGTGTGTGTGTGCGAGAGAGAGAGAGTGCACATGCATAGTGCATCTTCATATATATAAATTAAAGGAAATAAAATCAGTTGTACATTGCTAAAAAATAAACTTGCTTAGTTGGAGACTCAAATAGCCTGGCTTCATATCCTAACTCTGCAACCTTATCTGTAAACTAGAGATAATAGTAACATGTATGAATTAGGAATGTTTGGAAAGCTCTATAAATGAAAAACCCATGAAAAAATCCTTAAGGAAGTGTTTGGCACACAGTACCATAGGGTCATTATCACCACCACTGTTGCTGCCATTGATGTTGGTACTTCTCTCTCCCATCAGGCTCTGGTCACTTAGAAACATTTTCATTACTCTTTACTGGCAAGGATCTGTTTTTTTGGTTTTTTTTTTTTGTTTTGTTTTGTTTTGTTTTGTCATGGGGCTTGAACTCTGAGCCTGGGAACTGTCCCTCAGCGTTTCAGCTCAAGGCTGGCGCTCTACCACTTGAGCCACAGTGACACGTCCGGCCTTTTCTGTTTATATGGAACTGAGGAATCAAACCCCAGGCCTCATATATATCAGGCAAGCACTCTACCACTGAGCCACCTTCCCAGCCCAGGATCTGATTTTATTTTATTTTTTTTGGGGGGGGGTCCGGTCATGGGGCCTGAACTCTGGGCCTGGGCGCTGTCCCTCAGCTCTTCAGCTCAAGGTTAGCGCTCTACCACTTGAGCCACAGCACCACTTCTGGCTTTTTTCTTTTGCTTATGTGGTGCTGAGGAATCGAACCCAGGGCTTTAGGCATGCAAGGCAAGCGCTGTACCACTGAGCCACCTTCCCAGCCCCTGATTTTTTTAAATAGCACTTTCACTAGTACTAGAGAAGATTTCTAGGAAACATATTAAAAACAAAGAAGAAATGTATAAGGAACGATAAGTTACTTAAAAAGTAAGCATTATTAATAGGCCAATTTTTATTATTATCAACTGATTATACAGAGAGGTCACAATTCCATATATCAAGTTATGAGTACTAAACATCTTGATCATTGTGACCCCTTCCATCATTTTCCCTCTCCCATCCCTAAAGTTATATTCAGTTTTTACATAATGTACAATAAATACAGTGACTGCATTTTAATATGATAATTTTTTAAAGAAAGTTCTCAACTAACCATTGATTTTTCTAGATTCATTTCATAGCTTCCATTTGACAGTTTGAATTACTTTAATTTTATTATTAAGGAAAGCAATTTTCCTGATTCTCATGAAGCTATTTGGGCCTAAGATTACTGGGTTTTGTTTTGGACGGCCTTGTGCCAGTCCTAAGGCTTGAACTCAGCCTCCAGCTCTCACTTGGCTTTTTCACTCATAGCTGATGCTCCACCACTTGACTCAGGCCTCCACTTCCATCTTTTGCTAATTAACTGTAGATACCAGTCTTGTGATTTGTCTGCCCAGCCTGGCTTTGAACTTTGATCCTCAGATCTCAACCTCCTTAGTAATTTAGAAATTAAAGGCATGAATCTCAGCACTAGGCTAAGGATGATTAGATTTGTTAACCATTGAGTGTTAAAAGAATCTTTTTCCCAACTCTTTAATTCTTTTGGATGAATTGATTTTGTTGTAAGGTGTGTTTTTTCTCCCCATTTAATACTACCGGGGTTTGAGTTCAGTATCCTGCCCTTGGTAAACAAGTGCTTTATCATTTGAGCAATGTGCTCCCAGTTCTGTAGTCCTTTTTTTATATATAAAGATAATGTGTAGCTTCCAGGCATGGGAAAAGATCAATTCATGTAATAAAATATTTTGAGTGCTCTAATCAATACATCTGAGGAGGCTTTTTTGGGGGGAGGGGGGTCGGTTGTGGGGCCTGATCTCTGGGCCTGGGCGCTGTCCCTCAGCTCCTTCAGCTCAAGGCTAGCGCTCTACCACTTGAGCCACAGCACCACTTCCGGCTTTTTTCTTTTTGCTT